ATCATGCTCCACAGCCCTTTCTGTGGAGGGCAGCCATCCTCAGCATCCAGCCCAAGGTGTCCCTACTACTCAAGGTAAAATGCCTAAGGCAGGCCATGAGGTGCATTTTCAGGCATCCAGACTAAGTGTAGCACCAAACACAGTGAGAAAAATAACTAGAAACATTGTAGTGACTCTCAGCTTCAACAGGAATCTGAGCCTGTTAGTAAGACAGACTTTTAATGAAGAAAATCAGCTATGGAAACATTTTATAACACACATTTTTAAGGTATTAGGAGGAATTTGGCTCTAATTCTCTTCATTTCAGTGTGCTTCAGAATCAGAGAGAATGATGATTATATCATTTACATTACTTGTGGGCTACAAGGCAAAACTAGTTCACTGCACTGCAGTGGAGCATTTCCTTTCTAGTTTTGAACTACAAAACCAGTCATATTACAAGAGCAAAGGTCTAGGTCTCTGTTCTTCAGGAGTAGCCAGAATAGGGCCAATTTAAAGAAGGAGGCTGGTAGAAGAAGCAGTAAAAAAAAAAAGAAGCGGTAAAACAGTGTACAGGCAGTCTTTTCCCTTCTTATCCCTTGTGCAGTTGTTAAAGATCTGATCCAGAGGTTGCATCCAGGCTATCATTTTTAGTAAGAACTTATCTGTCCTTCATCAATTTTTCTATCTGTTTAGACTTCTGCTATCCATAACACCCTTGGCAATGAGTTTCACGTGGTAACTGCTGCTTGACGGAGTACCTCCTCTTTGCCTGCTTTGAATCAATTTAGTTAACACGAGAACCATGAAGAATCACTCCCCACTCCCCTTCTCCACCCCATTCATGACAGTATAAAACATCTGCAATTCCTGTAATACATCAACTCTTCTCTATGTAAAAGAGAAGCCAGTCAACACGACCTGAGACCAATCTTTGATGGTCTTCTCTGGACATTCCCAAGCCCTCCACTACCTTCCAGAGGTGGCAACCAGAACTGTATGTTGTTGAAGATACTGGCACACCATGAAGCATTCTGATGGTTTCTGTTTGGTTTACCAGCTTGGGTAAACACCTAGAGAGCTTGTTGATTCTTCAGGGAGTGCAGCATTTCCTCGCAGTTGGCCATTAGTCTCTGCAAGAACTTTCTGGGGACTCGCTGCAGGTACTGCTCTCAGGGAGTCTGTTGAGGTGCAGGTGAAATTTTTCATCTCCTCATAAATGCTGCCACAGATCTCTGTTTGTTTTACCCAATTCAAGCCAGTCAGACTCACAGCTTTCAAATCCCTATTTCCTCCCCTTGCAAAGTCTTCCCAAAAGCATGGAAGTTTGCAGCCGCTCAAAGCTCACCACCACTTTCTTTCACCTGTGCATACAGTGAGAAGTGCCACAAGCCAGAGAAGCAGAAAGTACATGGTTCTGCCGACAATCAGGGGAAAGCATTGTTACATTAAAATCTATCCTGACTAACCAAGGAAACTTTCTTAAGCTTATCCCAGTGAATATTCCAGTCTTAAAAAATTTCTCAGGCATTCCCATGTAATGGGTCACTGTCCTGAAGGATCAGACTTGGCAGTGGGATGCACCATTCTCTACCCAGCCTTGTGAGTCCCTGCTAATCCAAAGAGATGTACTTCACCAAATACAGCTGCTTCATGTAGTTGCTCGGTTTATCTCCCCTCTCTTAGCTGAACTGCCATGGTTCCAAAAGCCCTTAAAATTAATGACAGATATGCTTGTAGATTAAAATCTATCTACCTGTTAATGCTGTGTGCATCTCTTGTTCGTAACAGCACTGGCAGTCACAGTGCTCATCAGCCGCAGTTTCTTTGGGCTTCTTGGTAGTGAATGCTGGGAGAAACAGAGTAGTTGGTCTGACCCGTTCTACAATTTCTAGGAGGCAGTTGTCACACACCATGAGAAAGACAACCCAAAACCAAGTTACGGGCTGAAACACTGCATCTCAGCACACCTGACCAGAACACTGAGCAGACTCCTGTAAACACATGGTTAACAAAGGGAGCTCAAGACACCGTAAGAAAATAACAGCACAGACACATTGTACTTCTGTAGTTAGAAACCTCTACATTTGAATGAGCAAACTATAGAAATAGTAACCTTTGTACATCAACAGAACTCTACTACTACCTACAAGCATGAGATAGAATGCAAAAGCTAGGTGAATAATGTAAGCCAGTTCAGCATACTGAAATAAGAAACGGTCCTTCTGGAGATCTCATTTTCCAAACACTTTGCACACAGTGCCTGCAAAAATAACACTGAGCGTGTTAAGTGCTGGGGAGAAGAGTCCCTTTCCTTCAGTTTTCCAAGGAAACAAATGTGGGATAGAACATCACTTTTACTCAAAACAAATTTCCACCAAATTCCTTGCTGGAGCTCTGACATCCAAGCAATTCAGAAAGTCAGCAGAGACCTGCCCACACCCATCACCATTACTTTCCTAAGACTGGAAAGAGAAAAAGTTGTAAGTTTTGCACTCAGCCTCAAATGTTAGTCACCCCAATTTTCTCTTTTGAAGTATACACACAATATATACACACACACAAACACACCCATGTATTTATACACACACATAAATCACTTCTGGTGTTTCTTCTGAAATCCCTACTCTGACTGTTCTTGAAGTGCTGAACCTAATACATGCTTCCCCAGTTAATTTACCCCCTGTATTATACAACACTGCCATCCAACGAGGGATCAGAACCCCCTGAGAGCTCAAATACAGAATCCACCACAATCTGCTCACAATGAGCAGAAAAGTTACTGTTGTAAAGCAGTTTACAACAAGTGTCTTAAATGCTATTACAAAAAAGTGACAACATGGTCACAGCTACACCGGGCAAGGAAAACAGTTTTAGTCACAGGACTGGTTACTTGCTGCTGTCTGGGAAGGTGTACATCAAGGGGTGAGGAAGCAGTCCTGACACACTGGACCCATCCAGGCCATGAGCTGCAAAAAGCACGTACCATTTGCTCACATTCCCCCTCTCTGGTAATTAAGTGAAAACATGCAAGAAAATGCATTTCTTAGTCTAAAACTATCTAGCTCAACTGGTTTCAGAGAAGATTTAGCTGGGAGGAACAAGGATGCCCTCCCTGAGATAGATGTTCTGGCCTCCGGTGGGCATAACTCTCCCAGCAGGACTTGACAATTAGTAATGTTGATGCAGTAAATGCATTTAAGTTCAGTTCTGTTAATATGGCCCTTTCCCACCTGAGATTAGAGGATCTCTGTTCACCTGGTATCTTCTGCATTTATGTTGCCATTGTTCCAGAAGCAGAACTATTACTGGTGAGGAAAAGTTACCCATAGTAGGGGAATGGGCTCTTCTTCTAAGGCACAGAAAGGGGACAGTGGGTGAATTTATTCTGCAATTTAAGAGGAGTACTTCTTATCATCTAGGACATTTGCATAAACCAGCTCCCTCAGCTCTTGGTTTAATGAATAAAGGAATCAAATCTTTCATTGCATACTGCAAATAACCACAAAGATTTGCCATCTGAAACAGCTATACATGGCTCTCTCCCCATACCCACCACCTATGAATAAACATTTAAGTGATAATCTGGGAGAGCTGAAAGTGGGCAGAGCTCAGTGCCAAGCCAAGTTGATTCTTCAAGGACATATTTGCACAACACACTGCTGAAAATTTTGGAGATACTCTGCAGTGGCTTCACTATGTTCAGTTTTTCCTCAAACAAGTGTTCTTAAGATTTTGTAGCAAGCTGCTTAGTTTCCTGCTGTGCCAAATTTACATGGGAGAAAATTTAGCTGATCCATTAACATTTGCATGTCTTATTTCTTTGTGCTGTGAAAAGAGTCAAATGAAAGAAACTTGCCCCAAAGTGGAAATGGCGGCTGCAGAGCTGAGGGGGGGTCCCCCATCCTCACTCCCTCAGCTCCTTGCCATTTCAGACCTGAAGAAAAGCATAGCCAACAGGCAGGCAGAGGAATGACAAACCTGCACAGCATCTGGCTTCAACCGCTCCAGCTGCTGCTTACACTCAGTAGCAGAATCACATCCATCTCCTCTCAGGGACAAGCCCCAGAGCCACCCACCAGCCATGCGCCGGTGATGCACTATACCCAGGATCTATCCATCTATCTTAGGTGGAAAAGAGTATCCAAGGTACCTATCATGGCAACATCTAAATGCAAGTATCAGAGCCCTTTACAGACAAAAAGGTCTTTCCCCCAGGCTGTTTAAAATTTGCATGTTCCTATGTAGCACTGAAGATAGCAATGGTGATTCATTAAGATAATGATTTAAGTAGGAGGCTTAAGAAAGTCAGTGTGGATTAACATCCAAAGGGCTGCAGTTGGAGCTTCTCCACTCCAGGCTGCCACCTTCCCTTTTACGGGAAGTGATGAATTCCAAGAACCTAGAGAACTGTGAATTAACAGTAACTGGATCACAACTACAATGCACTAGAGCGCAAGAGCACCATCTCTACTCCAGTCCAACCTCCTTTGCAAGGTGAAGTACAGAATTTTATGCTGCAGGAGAGTTTCCAAAGCATTATAAATTATTGGCTTTTTCCTTCATTTCATTAGTTTGTTAGTGTAGGATCTCCTCAAGAAAAAAGCGTGCAAATTTCTTCTAAACTGTTTTTCTGTCCACCTTAAAAACAAGTTTTCTTCTAACCAGTTGTCTTTTCCACAACTGAATAATGAGATGCATTTGATAAATTGATTGCTCCCACATAATAATGTAAATACACATTGGAAAAAGCACACAGATCCTTTCCAAACCCCAATATTTAACCAATTTGCAATCAGTTACGAGTTAAAGCATGTAATCTGTCTGTAACATGAGGTTAATGCTCAGACAGTAAAGGGCGGCTCATGCTTCATCCCTGCTGAGATAGGGGCCTCCATACAGTGATTTTGGTAGGATACTTTCTGTTGCCTTCTAGAAAGATGCACAGGGAACCAGTTCTGCTATTCTGCTCACTCATTACAGTTGCAATAGGGCATCCCAGTATATATTGCCTCACTCACCACTAGCTGTGCTTGGTCTTAACGTCTTCTAGGCACTCTATCCCATGCTGATTCAGTACAGAATAGCTTCCTAGAATGCAATTATAGAAAGAGTAAGGGTTTGTCTTAAAAAGGGATTATTCTAGAACAGCTATTCCTTATTAACTACTCCAAATCACCTCTTTGTTAAGATGAAGAAGTTAATTGGGAATAACTCTTCTGCTCAGACTTATAACTTGCCTTAGTCTGAATCAGTCACCCTGTTTAGATGAGCTGTTAGTACGGAGTCATAAAATCACAGCAATGGCTTCACCAATAAAAACAGACTCACAGTTGCAATGGAAGTTGAGCTGTGGTGTAGACACAGCCAAGTTAGTTGTAAGGTGGCCAAATAACAGGATCAAAAAATGGGTATAGAACAGTTATTCCTATATTAGATCTCATCAGTACTGCATGTGACTTTTTGTACAAGTCCTGGATCTGCACTGTTCAAACTTGGTTTATTCCCTAGATATATGGAGACCTTAACAGCAGGGAAACTTTGAGTTCTGTAGCTTCTTTGTTTATTCTTAGCTTGCAAGATTTCTCATCCAAAAAGGGCTGAGAAAGTACCTGGCACATCTTGGATGCTTATTGAATACATTAAATAAATCAAACGTTTTATGATAAAATTCCACTCCCCCACACTAAGCAGATGTAGGTGCAAGTCAAAGAGACTTGAAAAATTGCACTAAAATTGATTTTGCTCCAGTTTTCCCCAAAGGAAAAAATTTCTGTGTGGGATGAGACAAAAAACATGGAAAATTTCAGCTATCGTGAACAACTGAAAACAGAAATGGAGGAAAGACAGAAGCCAAAACTGAACTTCACATTCAGAATGAATAATTTATATTCTCTACAGTGTTCTGTATTACAGGCATTCCTGGACTTACACGTAAAGTGAAAGTCTGTCTTGGGCTCATCACACTTCTAGTGAAAAATGCCAGAGTCTCATAGGCTCCTGAGGGGAAATCACAAACCAGAAAGAAAGTTCTTCCTAATTTTAAGAGGCTAAAAGAGGCAGGACCCAACCAGCTGAACATGTGTGTCACAACACTAGGAGAGTTACTTATAGACAGTTGTCAAGTCCTGCAGCACAAAAATCTGAGAGAAATACTGAATACCTACAACAGAAAACACAAAACCGTCTCATGTTGCATGTGTTACAAGGTAACATACCCTATTTAAGGTTTCTTCTAGACTGTTAGAAGAGGACTTGGGTTTGGTATACATGACTGTTAAACATCACCATCTGCATGGTTTTCCATGCCTGAGGTCTGTGCCCAGGTAGTTGGGCTCTGGTGGGGGGCTCAGGGCAAAGGGTTTCAGTGGACATAGTCCAGCCATTTCCAAGGATGATACTGGCATCTCAGAGGAGCTCTGACACAGACAGCACGGAGCTCAGGATTTCAGGGCAGCATTCAACTGCCAGACCCACAAGACCATTTCTGTTGTCCCTGCAACTCCTTGTTCATACCACACCTCCCGCACTCACACTGACAAAGCTGGTCCATCCTGTACACAGAATGAATCAGGGATCCTGTGTCAAAAATAGCAGGTGATCCAGCCTGCCATTACTTGATTGCAGTACCTGTGTAACTATCAGTCTCCCTTTGCATATAGGCAGTCTTAGTCCATGTATGTAGGATTTTATAAGCAACTTTTATGGACTGTTTTCCTCACTGGAGAGGAAGTTAATAGAGACATGATAGAAAGGGGAAAGGGCAATTATAAATACACGCAAGTCAAGTGAGACAAAGGATAAAAGAAACTGAAACCACTTCCAGTCTCTCTCTCCAAATTCCATACGCACGTTGTCTCTGGCACCACTTCACAGTAACCCCAAAAGACATTCACCTGCTCCCACAGCACCAAGAAACAAACAGTGGAACAGGAACAAAGCAGCTCCCTCCCACCTAGGATGACCAACGTCATCCCCTGATAGCGCATCACGAAGGGAAAACCTTACCATTAAAGCAGAAGAAAAACAAACACACATGAACACACACAGCTCTCCTGCTCCATGCTATTAGCATCCTCCTCATCTTCTATATGCATCTAATATCAGGAGATTTACATTCAGGGCAAAAGCTCATGCTGGCAGGAGAGGAAGGTACTTTGGAGAAGAGAGGGGAAGGCAGACAAAAAAGCTTACATTTTCTTGGCTTGTGATCAGCAGGCTGGATGCGTTCTGTGGAACTAGGCCAAAGTGTTAGTTATTATATTCAAGAGAACATCTGAATCCCAGCTCAAGGGAGCCGAGTTTGCGGCTCTCATTTATGCTGTATATCAATTGAATATCAAACCACATTTTCCGCCTTCTGAATAATAAAGCTTAATAGTTTGGGACTCCCATATGGTCTATTGTTAAAATATTTCCAAACACTGGCTGCTGTTTTATTTCTAAAGGAAAGATTTCTCTTTCCTCTTCAAGCTTTACTTGTTCAAAAGATGCTTGTAGCAAAAGCTAAATATATTAATCCTCCAAATATTTCCTGACTTCTAAGAAGAGCCGAAAAGTGAAAGGATAAGGAAAAACAAATACATTTTGAAATTGGCCTTTTTTTAATGTCACATGCAAATGTTTGTTCCAAGCAGAAGCAGCTGGTGCCACCAGGCTCTGCTGCTCAGAACAGGGGGTGCAGGAGCTTTCAGAAGCCACGAGCTGCTCTAACAAAGGAGGACCACACAGGCTCAAGCCATTCACAAAAGGACCCAGGCCGATTATTTGACTATTACTTACAAGGAAGCTTGGCCAGTAACGTAGGCAATAAATACTGGAGAAACCTGTTCTGTGCATAACCCGGGTTTGTCTTTTCAGAAGTCCTGCTCTCTAATTAGCTACTCATTCCTGGAGGGCATTGCTGATGGATGGCGTGTATCAATTTGGTATCTTTAAAAAGTTAAGAAACTTGTTAAATAATAAAAGCATCAGCATAATAAACACTCTGCAGGTCACTACTGCCCCTTCCCAGTCACACCAGGAAAGAGTTTTTGCAGAGAAAGACTTGGTGGCAGAGAAATTCTCTGCTTGCAAGGGCTGCAGTGCCCTGCTCAGCAGCCAGGTGAGAACTGAGACATGCTCAAAGGAGGACCAAAAGGTCCTGCATTCACCAGCTGCTCGATTAGCACAGAAGGACTCAATTGCTCAGTGAGCAGAAGCGAAACCACACAGCACTGGTTGTGCGCTGGTGTGAACCTCCAGCTCCACCTCATGCAGCTCTTGCCGTCCCCATGAAGCGCTCCAAGCTCGCTCTGACAGGAGCTCTCAGTGCAGCACCAGCTCACACGTCTGCCGGTCACTCAGCAAAGCAGAAGGTGCTGAGCTAGGCACAGCCAACAGCACAAAATACAGCACACAGCACAAAAAATGCGGCAGTTCCTACAGCTCGGGGAGCCAAGCAGAAACTTCTGCTCCCCTTACTCCTCTGTTCTTGCCCTCATTGCTGCTTCTCATTCCAGTCTCCTACTTTTCCCTCCTGCCTCCATCACCTATCTGCTCTACCATCGCCTGCTCAGCTCCACTGTACAGGTCTTCAGAGGCAGCTGTCCTAACCCCAAAACTGGTTGCTCATACTCATCAGCTGCCTCCTCTCCAGAAAGGAAGAAATTCCAGTACTTCAACATCTGTTCTCATCCCAATTTGGGGAGAAAAACTGGGATTAGAGACTCTCTGCAGAAGTTCATAAGTTCAGGAAAAAAAAGAACAACCAACCCCAACACTCATTTACTAACACCAGTGCATATTGTGCCGTTTGAAATGGAGTATTTTCACATCACTGAAACCAAAGTTGGTTCATTTTGGTTTGGTGACCTGACCTGAGAAATTTTGTTCTGAGTCAGTACACTCTTGAACTGTGTTGTTCCCACAACCTTGCACTGCCTCAGAAACTGCACCCTTGCAGCCTTATAACCCTGGTCTCTCTTCTGGATCAGACTCCCTATAGCACACACTGAGGTGTTGCATGGCACAGCACAGTCTCCAGGAGAGCTGTAACACCATATGGAAAGACCAAGACCCTTGGAGTTCAGCAGAAGAGGATGGGTACATCAAACAACAGCTCTCTGAACAGCTAAGGACTACCTGGAATCCAGCACAATGTTCTGAACCAATTCTGGGTGAAGCCAAGTAAAGCAAAGCAAAGAAGTATTCCTATACAGTTAGCATAGACAGGTTAATGTAACATTTCTGGTAAAAAGCTATGTATTAATTTTACAGGTGATCAGAAATCTAGAATTGGGCTTTGCTGGGGGGGGGGGGAATCTTCAATTTTAAAGAAACTCAGTTTTTCCCTGAAAAAGCCTCTTCAAAGAAAAAACTTACATCAGTCTGCTACTGACCACAGCAGCACTCTTACAAACTGTCACAGAGATAATACAGTGAACAAAGCTCATTCTTACAGAAATTTACCCTAACAGGAAACTTAAAATACAGCAACATCAGCACCCCTCTGCTTCCTAGTATGACCCAGGGACTGTAGGATGGAGTTCATCAGCTGAGGATAACATCTAGTGTAGGGAGAGCCTGACAAGCATTGAACTAGAGATTCTGCAACATATGTCTGAACAGTCGATCTCTTCCTGCTTCTACCTGAGGCATGGACACAGTTTTTATGGTAGCTGCATAGAAACAAACACTGGTGGAGCTGCTGAAGGCACCGAGCTCTGCCCCAACTGTCAGGGATGCCACCAACCCATGCTTAACAAGCAGCTCTTACTCAAGCGTAGAGGACTCAGTGTGAGGATTAGTGTGTATTCACAGAACATTATTTTAGTAGTTTTCCTGTAGACTCTGTGTTCTTACCCCTAGGTCTGTATATCTGAGAGGAGGTGGAGTGCATGTATGGGTTTGATTTACTTTAGAAAAAAAAAAAAGAAAAAGGAGAGACACTTAGCCTGTAGTTCCAGTGTTGGAAACTGCAATAAACCTCTCTTTTTAAACCCCATAACCTTGTGACTGTTTTATAGTTATAAGGAATCATAACCAGAGAGAGATTTAGACTAACAGTGATCTGCCCTCAAAGACATTAATCTGTCACATCTAATAGAAGGGGAATAAGGAGACAAACCTTTCTTTTAAATGATTCAAGCAGATGGCGTATGGCTTTGGTGGGAACTTACTGTAAGTTGCCCCTGTAACAAGGGTAAATTTGGCAGTGCTGCACACCCAAAGACACTATTTACAAGTCAGTGTGAAAAGTATCTCTGCATGATTTCCTTGTGTTTTAAACCCTGGATTCTCTGTGATCGTATCTCACCACTTTTGTGGTTGACACATCCAACCAGCTTTCCACCCACTTTCTCACCCCCTTTATGCCAGTAAGACTGAGTCTTCCTTTTGTTTGCAGCTTTCTTCTCTTCTTAAAGTAATTCTTTACTCTTAAGGGATCAGCAAAAGCTAATCAAGTGCATTGTGCCAACATGTTAAAGCACAGTTTTATATCAATATTTCAAACATAACTTTATTTGTCTGGACTTCTAAAAGCGTCTTCCTTACCCCATAAAGCACATAAAAGTCTTCGGGTTAGTTTCTCTTTCCTTTCCTTCTCTATGCCTTATATGGGAAATAAAAGGTTTATTTTCTCTCCTTCTCTCTTCTTCCCCCAAACCTTATTGCCCAACTTCTCAATTCTCATTTTATCATGCAAGTTCTCTTTCTCCCTCTTTCTCTTATCCATCATGTTTCTGCAGACTCACTTAAGAAGCATTTCTGGATCGCTTTGCTCTCGGTTCCTTCCTCTCCTCCAGAGGAGCAACAAATGCCACCTGGGACACTTCACTGCATTTCCTCTCCTGGAAGGAAGCCAAAGCTTACTTAACTCTTTTCCTCAGGTCTGCCACTCAGCCCACTAACGGAGCCCCTTTTTCCACCCACACTGAACAAGCTGTAAGCTTTCCAAACTTGTCTGCAGAGCTTAATCCTAAATTCAGCTCGTTGTCCTATAAGAGACAAGACATGAAACAAATACCAATGCTTAAGAGTTCTCATGATATCTCAAAGCAGGTGAAGACCATTATTGTCAGATTCCTAGCATGCAACAAGGCTGATGGGGAGCACTGAAAGATACGGAGCAGCAAGAGACCAAATTCACATGCAGGGGCAGTCCAGGAGGGTACAGTGAATTCAGAGGAGCAGCAAACTTCTACACTGGTTTTCCAGACCGGTTGGGGAGGATTGGTGTTAGAGGACCTAAGGGTAATCCCAAGATTACCCTTCAATACACTCACAGGGAGCAAATGTCACTTTGCATGGTGAAGCATGCCAGCCAGGGAGCATGCTTTATATTTCACGTTAATGAGTATTAGGAACACAGCTTCCTTCCTCTCCCTACTTCTGATATAATTAAGCACTAGAATGAGCATTTTGTTTCAGTCTACAACAGCAACAGACCACAGCGCTGCAGAATAACAGGAAAGGGAGAGAATGAAGAAAAAACACCCCAGCCAGGTGGTAGACACTTACTGCTCCGGCCACCGCACAAAATGAAGGCTTGAGTGCACATTTTTGCCCGATTGCATAGCTGTCTCTGCTCCCCATCTAATCTGCTTAGAAAACTGGTTTTGAAGGATATGGTTCAGACATACCACTCACGTTGGGGGAACTAATTTTCTCAGAGGTTGCAACACAACCTCTCCCCCTCCTCCACAAGCAGTCACTGCACTGGCAGGATAAGCCGGAGATTCTCCAGCGTAAGCAGGAAGGCACAATAAGGTGTGCAGGCCCTTCTCCACCCCGATACCCACAGCCCTTGGGGGTACCACAGGGAGCAGAGGCTGACAGCCCAGCCGCTCAAAGGGAGGTGGTGACATTCCTCCGCCTGCTCATTTCAATTGCATTACCATGTTCAGAGGGGGATGTGAGAAACACACAGTGCTAGATGTTATACCGAGACAACGAAGAGCACAAGGGAGTTGCAGACTCCTGCTGTACCAATTGGTGGCTGGGTTCTGAACTCTCATTGTGTGATCCTATTTCTCCTGTCATCCAAGCCATTTTTGCGAACTCCAAGCATACGTCCATTTAAGCCATGTGTCCTGATATCTAAACAGCTGAAGGGGATAGGAGGGGTAGGGAGAGAGAGGAACCACTGGATTTCTGGTGACAGTGTCTAAAATACACATTTGCACAAGGAAGTCTCACTTCAGATAGTCACTTAGCAGAACAACTACAGCTGCTGACAGGCAAGAGGTACAGTTTCAAGTGACCATCAGACATAAAATAGGCCAAATAAATTACTGCAGTCTAAAGGGAGTGGGGTGGGTGTGCTCGCACAAATGTAACAGAGATAACAAATGGATTACCAATGGGTGACCCAATGTCAAAGATTAGCAGACCCAAGTTCTCATTTCAGTTACACCGTACCAATGACATTACCTAAGATGTAGCAGAAGCGAAACTGAAATCAGAGTCCAACCCAGGATGTCAGGGAGGCAGCTGCTTTAGTATTTTAATGCCTAGAATTTCAACCCAGTTTGCTTTGTTTCAGGAGTCTAAGCTGTCTTTGGTAGAAGGGCTAGCAGCAGCCTTTGCCAGCTGCCATGTGATCCGCAAGGATGTTTTCTAATGGAATTGGGTTATTTTGTGAGGCGGGAGTTGTTTGTGATGAAGGCAGACAGCACAGGTATACTGTCACTTTTTGTCCCTTTCCTCAAAGGTTATCTTTTATTTCTGTTCCCTGCCCACACACTTTCCCTCTCCCCTGTGCTCCCCTACACATAGCCCCATCTGTTCTTTGGAAGTACCAAGAATGCCAGTCATGGTCTTTGTGGGGTCTTTGAGGAGACCCCACTTACTTTAGTAAGTGGGTCAGATAGTGCTTACTCTCTGAAGTAAAATACAAGGTTTTTTTAAATATGTACATAAATAATTTGTAAGCCTTCCAACTATTAATTGCTGATGGAAATTAAGCATCTGCTAACAATAAACTCCCCATACAAATGAGAAGATAGTTTGAGTCTGACTAAAATGCTTTCCCCTCCTAATTGCTAAGAAAACCATTTTCTTGTCTTTTACAATGGCAATTTCATTAGTTCTGCAATTATCAAAATATTTCAGGCCTTTCTCTTTTGTGACAGAAAGGAAAAGCTCCAATTCCCACTCCAGCTCTGCTGTCAGGGTACTGCAAAACCAACTGAGAAACTGCCAATAACGAGTAGCCATGAAAAGTTCTTGGGGCAGAGACTATGTGGGTTGCAGAGTCCACCTGCACACCTTCTCTCCCCATATCGTCCACAGTGCCCTAGAAGTCTTCCATATTTACAAGTATCATACTACAGGCTATATATGACTGTGGCAACTAGGTGCTGCAAGTGCAAAGAGGAGCTGAAATGCTGATAATGCGAGAATGCTTAGAATAGCTGATGCCAGGGGAAGAGAAGGGGGCCACCAGCTGAATTCGCATCACACAAGGAAATAAGGCGGTTGGGTAAAAGCCCCCATATGGCTGCTAGGGAACATGGAGCTAAAAGGGCTTTCACTGCTTGGAGAACTGCAGATCTCCTCCAGCTGCTCATCTCACTCTGTGTAACTTAGTGCAGAAACATAAAGAAGAATTCCAAAAGCCTACAGTATTTTATTATACAGGAAAAGCAACTAGTCCTTTGCATGAATATGTTTTTCTGCATTCAAGAATCTCAAAGCACTTAGCTGCAGTACTTGCCTTCTATCAACTTAAGGGATGAAAGGCCAGGTCTAGCTCCCTCAAGGTCAAATAGCAAGTTCAGCAGCAAAAGATGACTAGGACTCAGTTACATCCAAATCCCATTCAACTATTCTACCCATTAGATTGGAGAGATGTTAAACACCCTCAGAGCGTCAAGAATGACTAATGCTCTCCAGTTCAGCCTGTGATAGAGAACTGGGAACTTGCACATCTCCTTCCTCTGCCTCCCACTCCTCTATTACCATTCCCATATCATTCCAAACCCCACATGATGAGATTTTCCTAATCAGCAATTAAATAGTTAATGCTTACATTACAGCAGATGGAACAGGAGTTGCTGCGGGGAAGGTATGCAGAGGGAAGGAGAAAAGAGAGAAAGGAGGAAAAAGCAGGCAGAGAAACAAACCTAAAGGAAAGCAGTTTTCCCACTAAAAGGAGTGATTAGTTGACTAGACAACCTAACCCTTAAGACTGTCTAGACTAGGATAAAATGCTATATTGTTGAAGGTGTTTTAGAGGCATAGTGTAGGTAAGGCTCACAGCTTCTGAGCATGTGGTAGCCAAGGTAAAGACTAATTAGGACATGTTCACTAACACATCTTAATGCTCCACTTTTAAATCCTTGCCTAAGAACTCAAGGCTATGCAAAGCAAAGGTCTGATGCTGTCCTAATGATTATAAAAGCAAAGCTATGACACACTGCAAAGAAATCAGAGTGTCGAGGAATCGCCCGGGTCTCACCTCCAGCATTTTTCATACGCTCATTGAATGCTTATGAACATTTGCATCTTAAAATATTCACCAGCCTCTCACTGAAAAACCTGCCATGACATTTTTCCTCTAAAAATCTAATCAAAGCTCCAAATGCCAATAGGCAAAGACACTACAGGCTAACAGCCTACACTCTTGTGAAACTTCTCCTTTTGCTCCAGTGTTTGCTCAGGCAAATTTGGAAAGGAGGGGGTAAGGGGAAAAAGAAAGGACTAGGAAAAGTGTGCCCAGGGCCTTAGCAACACCATCATTTCAATAATCTATTACCAGATTTGTAATTAAAATCTGAGTCCCACCTCACTAGGGCAGCCAGATGCATCCACAGAGAACTTATTTAGAGGGTTGTTACAATAAATACCAGGAGAATTACGAATGCTGTAGCTTCTTCTTAACCCTTCCAGCAATATTTCAGGAACCTCCTGTCAGTTTGAAAGACTGATCGTTTTTCTCTCAGCTTCTTGCAGGCTCTAGGTGTGCCCCTAACCAAATAGGCTTACCACTTAAAAGCTTAATTGCACCTGTGGCTTAAACCTTATCCCAGACAGCACTGGGGAGCATTTGGATTTGGGCGTTTCAGGTGTGGGACTGGGGCTTGTGCTCACAAACAGAGCTAGGCAAGTCAGAATAGGAGCCCCTAGTAAAAGAGGACTCTATGTATGCCAGGGAGCAGGGGATGGGGAGGAAAGAAGTGCTTTTTTTTCCCCCCATTTTGATCACATTTAACTCTATTTACATTTCCACAGCTGGGTTTGAGTAATGTTCACCTCCTTGTTTGTGACTGAGGGCAGATTTCACAGTCTCAGATTTCTTTTCCACAACAAAAAGATCAAAGTTTGAGCCCCTTGTGCAACTTAGGTGTTTACAGTGAATGGTGCTAATCGAACGGCAAGCCCTCCCTCCCGTTATCAGTCTCACACTGAGCCAAGCTCCTTCATTCCATATGCACTAGGAAGGACTGAGAGAAGAGAGCCCACGTCTGGCATGGATTATAACCCACCATCCCTTTTGCCTGCTCTTACACAGGAACTAAAATACAGCCTGCTAGGGGAGGGTTTAACACGTTCAAGTAAAGGCTTGTTCAGGGTCTTTTCGGCAGGGCTGACGAGCTGTTTCCAGGTTGTATTTTTAAAGAGGCTTTCTAAAAAGCAAGTAAGTGCTGTGTGAAGAACCACAGTGAAAGAGAAGGTTCCCTTCACTCACCTTCTCAATACCGCCTAGGCTCACAGTGCGTCTTGTTGCCAAAGGAAACCTGTGCTCCCTTTGCAAAAGTTACTGGTGAAGATAAAAGAAATAACAGCGTAATAGGAGTCCATGCAGGCAAGCTTCCACATTCCTGATTGCATTCTGTCTCATGCAAGGACACACAAACTTTCTGGGTCTGTTTTGTAAGCTATGAAATGGAGCTAAATTTTAGGGGTTTGTGAATTGCTTTAATTAATAATTGCCAAGCACGCGTCTTCAGATGGAAGGTATCATATAAATATTAATGAGCTGACTACCGTCTCTTAGGAATCGTAAGCACCATGGATGGATCAAAGAGGACATGTAGCTCTAAGAGACAGAGTGGTGGGAGTTGGCTCTGTGTTTAACTATAGTTTAAAGTAGATCCTCAAGACTGTTGTGGATATTCCCTATCAAGTTACAGCAGCTTTCAATTAAAATTACATTTTATCCTTAGGCAAAATTCCACAGTGTACCTTTTAATATTAGCAGAGCACATTTTCACTCATGTAGATATTTCTTCTACATACATGCATTACTAGAGCTTTGTAAATAGGGGTCAAACCAACTGGGAAATAGGGGTTTTACCTTCATTTTCATCTAAACAAATACCCCTTACCTAGTTACATTACCGAAAAACTTCCTGCTCTGCTGGCGATGCCGTGACAAGAAGCAGGATGAGGACGTGGCAGCTGTTTGCTTCACAGTGTTCAGAGATCAGTCTGGCAACACTTCAGACATGGAGCTGTCCTTGGAATGAATATGGCAGAAAGTGCCACATGGCAAAGATGCTGCTTCTGCTCTCCTGAGCAGTCACCTCCCGAGCACGAGCAGCACAGAACACGACTAAGAACAGGCTCGGGAGAGCTCCGAGCCCCTGCCCGGGCTCCGGGTGGGTGCGTTGGTGCAGTGGGCCGGGCGGCATTGCAGCATGGAGCCGGCTGCCCTGCTGGGCAGGCACGCTGGGGAGCAGGCTTGCAGCCTCCTCTGGAATGCGGGATGGCCGCAGGCCTCTGGAGTGTTTTCCAAGGAGGTGCTTACATTTGTTTCTCTAAGGGTCCAGTAAAACTGTGGGGTTTTGTTGTTGGGGGTGGTACCGGGGAATGAGGAAGAGCTGCTTTGTTGTTTCTTGAAAAACCCAAAACATCAGAAGACAACAGGGAGCAGGGACCAAAGGTCTTTCTTCCCCTGAGGAAAATTCAGTCTCATCAGCTGCCTTCTTACCTCTCTCAAGCTGTAAGACCCCGTGGCCAGCTTTCTGCCCACCTCTCAGGGGACAGGGCTTTCTAGATGCTTTGTGAGCCTGACACGTGGCCAGCCAGGCCATTTTCAGTGACTTGCTTCCTTCATGCGGGCTGCACTTCATTTCCTCAACAGTCACACTGACGGCCCTCCGTCCTGCGCACCTCACGCATGTCTTCATAAGCTCTGCTCTCTGCAGTCGTTGCTAAGGCAGTGCTGGAGCTGCCTCTGGTTTTGTCTACACTGGGGCAACTGGGGCTGACTGCTTAGTGCTGGCAGCAAGAACAAAACTCAAATGGCATAGGCACACTCGAGGTGGTTGTAATTGTGTCCCTGAGCTGCACAGAGGGAATACAGCAAAGAGATGGCGTTAAGAATCCTTACCACTTCATTGGCAAAAGAGGGAGGAATCTGGAAGATGCTCAGGACAGACAGCATCTTGACAGCTAGGAAAAAGAAGCCCCAGAAATTAATCTCCTGGGGTGCCAATGAAAGATGGAATGTTCACAACATATGAGTTGTGGCCAAAACAATGGTCTAATTAACTTGGATCTGCTTGCTGTGTTCAGTGCTAAAAGATGAGACAGAAAACATAACTGTGTTTTGATAATAAAATAAATGTGGCCACAGTGCCAACAATTTTTAGGCAAGGAACCATGAACCCAAACCAGAGGGATGGGAGGGGAATGTCTTCCCCTAGCCACACCAGGGAATTTTACCCCTTACTATGAATAATGTTTTTATAGCAAACCCAGGCACCAGTCCTAGCAAATACCTCTCTGTAAACTGTAGCCCAAACGAATCACTTTGGAAAAGGTCATACCACCTCCTGTTCCCAGAATTAAGTTAATTAGCACTTGTCCCTCTCTGTATAAGGTCAGGGATCCTCCCACAAAGGAGGTACACAACCAGATTGTTAAAAGATGTACATATGCCGTCTTAAGCAAACAGGCTTCTTTGTAGTATCACTAAGATTCCCTCTGGCCATCCCCGTAGAAGAACTCTCAATTGGAAGGGAAGCAGACCGGGGGATTAGCGTAACCAGTGCTTTGCCAGGTACCAGGAGCACAGTACAGGTCAATAGGTATGATGGTGGTTTCGTATTAGCTAGCAATCTCTCTCCATCTGGGTGACTTTTATCAGGTTCAGCATCAGCCTGTCATGCAGAATTAAATATCTGACCTATGGAAATGTTTTCTTATTGAATTTGAAAGATTTGCAGTGCTTTCTCCCCTCTTGACACACTTTGTTTCCTCTTATTCCATCCAGGCATTTGTGCTATATATATTGAAGTACTTCACTTCTCCATGTGACCAGCTACGTGCGCTGTGAGAAAGTAAATCCAGGTAAGACCTGCTATCAGTTATATCTTGGTGCAACTTAAGTTTGATCAGCAATGAAGGTCAACATGCTGGTCTGTATTTTTTGGCCACAAAAAAGTTACACGGTTCATTTACTGAAAGCAGGAAAAAAATAGCCAAGCCCATGAGGTTCTTAGGCACAGAATCATTGTCACAGGTTGCTTGCCACAGTATTTACATAAAACAGGTGTTTAAAAACAGAAACCAAACCCAAGTGTTTAATTACAGATATGTCCATCCTCATCTAAGTCTTAACATAGCATAAGCTATGTAGGATGCTAAACCCTACTTCTTTATCTAGGAGCCTTTCTGACGGACAGCCTTGACTGCTACTGCTGAGCACTGCCTCAAACCTGCTGAGACAGAAGGGTTTACACAAAGGAGGACAGGCCCTGGTTGCCCAGACAGGATACTGCTTTGCAGGACCATAGAAAAGGGTCCTGAGCCTATTTGTGTCAACTCCCTAAACCACAAACCACAGCTAGCCCTCCCTCTGAAGCACGTGCTTGCTGCTCCTTGCAAGGCTGGAGCAAGATATTTTGGCATCCAGATCACAGCCTTTGGGGGCCCACCCATCCCTTTTGGTCTCTTTCCATTCCTTATCACAGACCTGCAGACCCTCTCCCTGGGCAGCAGCAGAAACTGGGGCATATTTGCCTTGACGTTTGGCACCCTTCTGTTTCAACATCGCCCTGTGCTTCTGACCCAGAGAGCAGCTTACCCACCCAGCTGGATTCTCTGATAGCAAGAGTGGGGTGACACGTAGAGAATCACATGTAAGCAATGTGAAACTGGCAACTCTGGCATTTGAAACAGAATTCAGGATGCACTTGGCATTTCAGCTTTAAACTTAAAAATAAATGAGGCAAAACTGATCTGTAGCAAAGGAACGGCTTATGGGCAGCTCAGACTTGTCCTAGGCTTTCAAGCCAGTCATTTCCCATAAATACTCATAATTTTAAATAAAGAAAGGGGGAGAGGAGACAAAACAAACTGAGTCAACCACTTACTGCCTTTCTGATTCAGAGTCCTCAGCAGATGTAAGACAGAAATTATTCTATGAAAAAGGTCCTTTTTATGTATCTGGGACAGCCCCCAAAATTTTTACCAGAGGGGAAGAAGAGGACAAGAACTAAACTGCGAACTTGTCCGCACCCTAGCAGGAATTCACCCATTTTTCACCTCCCACAGGTATCATTAGCATGCTACTGAGAGCAGAAAAAAAAAGCAGCTAAGATCAAACACAAGCTAGTAACAAAGCTCTTCCTCTTGTCATCCTGCAGTGGGCCTGAATTTCTGGCTGCAGCTAGCCTTTTCCTGAAAGGCTGGGTTAGTTCAGAGTCCCTTTTGAAAGAAGTGCCACACTATGAACGTGCTACAGCTGCGACACAGAAAGCGCAGAAGGCAGGAAGTCTGACGTTCACACCAACCTCAGCCCCTTCACTCACACCTCTTTTCAAATAGCTTTAGCACATGGAGCCCACATTTTCACATTCTCAGAACTAGCTTTATCTATCACTCTGCAAGTTTAAGAGAATTTCTGAAATGGTACAAGTCTCCCTTTTCACATTCAAAACCTCATTCCACTGAGAGAAACTCTGCAATTGCTTTTATAAACTCTTCTCCTCGCTGATTCTTGTTGCTTCACTCCCATATAAAATAATATCTAATTAAAAGAAAACTAGAATACAGATTGAAACACCATACCAACTGGTGTCACAGTCCAAAAATGTCCGGATTTTCAAACTTAAGTCCACCCCTGTGGCCCCCTGTGTAAAAGGGGCCACACACATGTAGGTGTCAATCAGGCTCGGTGGCAAAACAGAGGGACCTAGGCTGAGATTTCAGAATGGCACAGACTTTCCTGTACAGAAAGAAAGTGCCAGTCCTCACCCATCTGGAATGATTTCTGCATTTTTCATTGCAGGCTTTTGGAATTTGACCTCAAGAAGCCAGGTGCTTGATTTCTGCATCTCCTGCTTTGCTGTTTTTGATGACAGAAACAGGAAGAGAGGGAAATAAAGGGAGGAAGAGAGGGAAATAAAGAAAAATGTATTATTTTCAAGGCTACACCATAATTATACCTAATGTTACCATTGTGACTGTTTTTGCAGGCAACTCAAAAGGTCTTTTCTGTGCCCAGAAATTCTGTAGCTGATCTGGTACATTTTACTCCATTCATTTAAAGAAAAATTACTCCATTCTCTTCCTCTCATCACCAGCCTTAAAATAAAATAACACTCAAAATATTTGTGGGAAATGGCAGGCAAATGGGTAGTAAAGCCTGGAGATTGCCTGGCAGCAGAAAGCCACAGGCAGAAATTAGCTGTGGCAAGTAACTAAGTGAGGGCAACAAAACCCAGCATTGTCCAGCATTTGGACACACTGCAGAAGACTGGTGATTGAGTGGAGAGATCCTGCAAGGTCTCAAGTACTATTTTGAATTAGGTAAACTAATATCTCCTGTACCTGTACCAAACCACACAGCAATACATAGTCTCTATGTTTACAAAGTCTGCTGGCAGCCGTCCTGGAAGTAGCATCTATCTTGGAGAAGATCTTGTGTTTTCTCTTGGTCTCTGGAAAACGATCCCAAACAAGTGGCAGGGACACACAGTTTTGGAAGCCTTTGCATGTTTATCTTTACTGATAAGCCTGCAATCTTTGCTGAAAGCACATCAGCATGTGTGTGCAGCAAAACCTTATTCCAGTCCATGCCTTCCTTGGAACAGGCTTTGTTAGAACTAGGCAATGCGTTTAACTCCTTAGTGGCCAATCTAAAGAGGCCTTGGTGTAGAAGACTTCCTTTTCCTTCTCAAAATGCATCATGTCTTCATATAGCTCTGAAAAACAAGCAAGCACGCCAGCCCTGCTTTGAGACAGCAGCAGTGCAGATTATATACCTACACTGACACTGTCAGGGGAATTTACCCTAAGAGAGTTTCATCTCCCTGAACAGCCTCTGGTTCTGTGCTGATCAGAAGTATTGTCTATCTGAAATAAAGGCATGCAGCAATCTAAGTCGTGGGCTGAACACATGAAAATTCATTAAGAGGACTTGTTGAAATTATTCTGTCTGATTGATTGGAGACTGTCAGTAGGAGCTTTTTGGATATGTAGAAGTGGAGGATCAACCTTCATTCCAAGACATCCGATCCTTTTCTAGTAGCTTAACTAAACCTGTTCATGCAGCTTTGTTAATACTTGAATTCTCAGTTCACACACAAACATGCATGCCAAGGGCGAATATCCAGAAAGGCACTAGGGATCTCCCAAAGCTGACATGCCAAGGGCTTGGACAGCCTGAAAATTACAAACAAGTGGCTTTTTTCTGACAGCAGGTTCCATTTATTTCCTCCCACTTGCTCTTTCCTCATCTCCTTCCTACACCCCTGAGTCAACTTTCACCAGGCGAGTTTCAGTTAAGCATGTGCTTTGCCAGAGGTGATTTTAAATTATGTTTTTCAAAGTTTATTTATAATACACACGCACAGTGCATGATGCTTTCAGGGCTTCCAGAGACTTCAGCATGTCAGGCATGACTCTGCCAGGTGGAAGGAGCACTAATTCATCAGCTGACCCACAGAAAAACACCTCCCCTGTGTGCTCCAAACTCAAAGTTGGAGTGAAATAAGCTAATTTTTGCTCTGTTATCTCCTACCTAATATTCATAATTTCCATGATCAACCTACTGGAAATTCCAATTGCAAAATTTTGGAGGAAGCCAGCTGATTCCCCCAGCTGATCTTGTAGCAAAACCAGCAGCCCATGACACAATGCAATGGTCCTACCAACAATTTCCCACTAAGGCAAGAGCTGGGAAACAATGAACTGAACTGGGTGAAACTAGAGTCAAAATTCACATGATCCAGCACTCCCTGCATCTGGCAGGCAGCAAGTTTCATTAAGCCATGTTTGTCCTAAATGGGTATATTTGACCAGTTTCTACTTTCATCAGAAAAGCATAACATGACCACAAGATCATTTCCAACCAGCAAAGCACATATTTCCAGGAGTGAATCTCTGAGCTCAAGTTCCAGCCCTAAAAGATGGTTTGGTTTTGCCATCTATATGCATACAAGCCAAGTTTTACTGCAGAAACCTTTGCAGATCCCACATTCTGCTTCCTGCTCTGTACCTGGCCTGGGCAGTAAACATCACTGGACGGGCCTTTCAAATGAAAGGTATGTTCATGCCTGATTTTTGGATGGGTTTAACATCCCCTGTTCTGAAATGATGCAAGTTGCTGAAATATTGTTTCCTCAGCTGCAGAGCAAATAAAAACAGAGCAAGTTACTCAGACTAATGGCTCAGAAACCTCAATATTAGGACGTGGCGCAGAGGCGTTCTGAGAGGAGAAGAAAAGGATGTGGTAGACAATTTGCTAATGGCCAGAAACTCTCTCTGAAAAAGCTAGCTGCGTGCCAGAATGCCTCAGGACAGGGCTGAGTCCACTGCTCCTTCCACAACAGCAGCTCTTTCTAAATAAAGAGGTCTTTACACGCAGGACTTGGGAAACTTAATTCAGATTAACTAAAGTTGTGAATTTAAAGTAATTTAGCTAAACCACTTTATATCTCTGTACAGATACATTCATTCAGTAGTCAAAGAAACTTTAATTTGGTTTATCTTTTATTGAATTAAGAGCATTTTAATTCTAAGAATGCCCATGCAGGGATTAGTGGGTTGAACAAAGGATGAAGTTACATGCTGGGCTGGAGTCGAATGTGGCATATGAAGTCTCCCCACTTCTATGCTAAAGAACATTCATTTTCCACCCCACCCCCCACCCCCCCCTTAAAAATAAGATAAATAAAATTATAAATTCTTTTTTTTTTATAATTATCCATGCCTACAGATCTCAAGCTGCATTAAAAAATCTGCCTCTGGCTCTGCATTTGCCTTTTGTTTCAATCTACCAGAACATACGTATTGTTTAAGAATCAGAAAGAAGAAGGACATTGATATCATAGAAAATGGGAAGAGCCAACAGCTCCTAAGAAACATTCATGGCATTATTTCACACACAAGAAAGACAGACACTAGATCCCAGCCACATCTGTGGAACAGTTTGCTTATGGACCTGGATCTAGATTTGGCCTCCACAGTTTCCATGAGCTACTGATCTGACCACCTAAGAGAGAGAATAGATCTCAAGGTTTAGATGTGAGATTGCAGAGCTGTTTGTAAGTGACTAGTTATGTTTCCAGCTTAGCTGTGCAGTACAGACCTCTTACAGCTTCATCCAGGGTCATACAACACCATAACTCATCTAGCTGCATGTACACAACGTTTTTTCATCAAAAGGGCTCAGCAAAAATCATTTCACAGAGGAGAAATGGCAGCTAATGAGATGTTTCTAGCTGCTGTTTAGGAAAAGAGACTTAACCTCTCCTCTCTGCTTCAGTTTATCTGTGATTGCTGGGAGAAGCTGTGGCAAATCAGAACCACAGACCACCAAAGGCCAGCTAGAACAAAGGAGACTGACAACTGCTTGAAGTGAGAGGGGTCTGGTAGCTGTGGTTCCTAAACAGAACACAAAAGATCTACACACACACACACCCAGATACATGCTACTCTCCATGCCACCCCTTTCTGAGTAAGAGAGGAAGGGAAAAAAGACTACAGAATTTTTCTTATTGACATTAAGTAAACAACACTGTCTCCAATGCAGTCTTCCACAAGAAGGAAAACCAACTTCACAAGCAAGTCAAGACTGTCAAACAGGAGACAGATGAAAGCATTGCCTCAGAATGTAAGGAAATCCCAGGCTGGCTGGTTGGGAAAGAATTAGCAATACGTAATTTAAAAAAGAGCACTCTCCCCTTCCTCGTCCCTGAGGTGAACACAGGTCCTGCATAATACTGACTTCTACATCAGCACCAGAGAATGAGACAATCACTTGAGGTCTTTCTCATTTATAGCCAGGCCTCTCCCCCTCTTGCTTTCAGTCGCTGGAGGCTATTTCACATCAGTTACCAGCAGTGTTCCTATGCAGCAGGACATGCTGTTCATATGTGCAATTTGTGATGAAAGATTTAGCCAATGGAGAACACCAGGAGGGAGGGAACTAGATAGTAGTTGTTATCTTGCCTCGCAATAGATTTTCAGTGGTCCCTTACTGGTGGCCCTGATTGAGCACCAGTGGAGCCAGCCCGCCTGCTCTTGTGTGCAGAAGGAACAGGAAGAGCTACTGAAAGACCAGGAACATCTCGTATATTCATCAGGCCTAAACCACAGGGAAGACATGCGATACAGCATGAAGCCGTGTACAGCACAGACTTCTGTACAGGTAGAGATAGAAGGGACTAAGAGTGGAGGACAGAGGTATGCAAAATGCAGTCCTACAGAAAAAGCACACAGGCAAACACGGTTTATGCCTTTAGCAGAAGACACAGGAGCGGCTCTTACAACAGGCAACCAAGAAAAGCCAACAGACAGTCAAAACCAGCAAATAAAATAAGCAGGAAATGTGAATGACAGCTGCCCAGAGTGACTGACTGTCTACAGGCAAACATACCAGCAACACACTATGGAGCAGTATCACATCTTGTTATCCCTGTCCCTGCAAAAGATCTAAGACTGGGGACCACTCTAATACACTGCACAGTGGTGGAGTTCCTTGGTCCCCAGTTCAGCAGGCAAACAGCTAGCAAGAATAGTTTAAATTCAAGTATGCTGTATATGATAGAGAATACCCAGCTACACAGAACACTTATGTGAAGGCCAGAAACTTTCGCCTTAGGGCATACGCCAACCGCTAACTTCCTCCATGGGCAAGTTACTCCATAGTTGTTTGGTTTAGGAGTTCTTGTACCTTTCCCTCAAGCATCTGGTGTTTGCCTCTCTTGGAGAAAGGATGCCAGACTAGACAGACAGATCATGGCTTCTTTCTGGTATGGCAATTACTGCATTCCACCCTGGAAGGGGGAGAGCACACTGGGGAAAGCAAGGAATGTTAGATGGCAAGTTCCAATAACACAAGGCCCCATTAAATAGCCTTCCCTCTCCATCTGGCCCTGCACAGTCATGCCAGCAGCACACCAGGAGCACACAGCAGCACAGCTTGGCCCTTTGCATTCTCAAAGAGTTCTGGGTTACACTGCAGAATCTGGGAGCAAAGCAAAGCAGGGCTCTGCTCTCGCCCTGGAAGTCCTCACACATGCAAGAAACAAGATTTTCCCATGCAAGTGTGTTACAAAACCAGGGCACAGAGCAGAATTGCGGTCTGCAGCCCAGGTTCATACAAAATGCAGCATTAATAAATCAATCAGTCAATCAAAACAGATCTCACGAGACACAGAGGCCCCTCAGCATCAGGCTAAATTATCCATTGTCCCGTAGGATCTGTGCCTCTACAGCTAGAAACGACAAAACACAACCAACTTTACCTTGGTTAAGTCAACCCACTTGCAGCAGAAGAGTAAACACCTGTATCAGTCTGGGAACCAGGGACTTGGGGTAGCATTTCTACTTGAAATGTGCATTTGGCAAGGCCTCTTTCTTCCTTCTCTGGAGCCAGAAGGCTCCCAAGCTCCCCAAGACAACTCTAATCCGGGTAAACTTAGACCTGCCTTTCTACCTAAAAATTCTTCTCTCTGTTGACGTTGGCTCTGGGCCAATTTAGCCTTCAATTCCAGGTCTCCCAATCTGTGTCAGCAGAAATTGCTTGTAGATATCTGCCCAGATTAGCTGCCCAGACACTATCTCACTTGTGACCTGCTTCACAGATACCCTTCTTGAAGGCAGCTGCTGCTGCTGCTGCTGCTGCATTTATCCACTGGAGCCCTCATTTCCTTACTGCCCATCTGCTGCAGGGGAGGCAGAGCCACACGGACAAGACACAAATAACTGACAGGGAAGATGTAGCCACACCAAACAATAAAAGCCAGGAAATCCAAAGCCTACACCTACCTAGTGAATTTGTGCCAGTTTTTAAAAGCAGGAGAATGTGGATAAGCAAACATAGATACAGTTGAATGACTTATCTCAGTTTAGACAAGCGATATCTAAATAATGCTGTTTAACTTATTACTGTAACAAATATGAGAATTGATTTAATAACCTAATGTTAGTTTTGGACAGTAGAGGTCTGCATCAATGGACCAATACACTAATTACGTTATCTTATCAAGTCAGTGCATAATAATAGAATTCCCCTATGCACTGATGGAACTAGGCTTAACTCTGCATTAGAAAATAATCTCTGAAAGACAGAGAATAAGGGAGTATTTAGGAGGAACTCCTTGTGGCTGGGTGCACAGTCGTTATTTTCATTTCAAAATATTATATATAAAGTATTCTCTATAAGGTGGGTGTTGCATGATAAGAAATTGCCTCTGATATTCTTTTATCACTTGTTATTTAACCTGCCTCTATTGCTGAGAGGTAGTCAATATAATTCTCCAAAAGACTTAAGTAAAAACGAAAGAACTACTGGTGCATATGCAGATCCATTCATTGTAAGCTGACAATAAAGCTTTTTCCATCAAGGTACAAGCAAAATGTCTTGCTGACATTAACTGGCAAGTACTTTGCATTCATATGGTATCTTTCATCTACAGACTTCAAAGCATCTGACAGGAGGCAGGCAGGCGTTGTTTCTTCATCCGTCCAAGAAAGAAGCTGAAGCACAGAGTGGCAAGGTCTCCCAGAGAAGGTAAAACCATCAGCAGAAATCTAAATTACCTGATTTGCAGTCCTTCAAAGTGAACTGCTTTGCTCCCAGTACAAATTACACCTGCACCAGAGAGCAGAACCTCCACTCACCCACACCCCTCTGAGAACTGCTAGGGATTCTTTAAGAATTTAAATTTCATTCATGAGAAACTAAACAAACACAGAACGCAAGAGTACTCTTCTAAACAGGGAAATGATGGGGATCTGAAACCAATCCAGATCTGAAGTTCTGTAGTGCTCCAAGGAGGAGCACTCCTTGCGTGAACCTGCAGAAGCACAGGTCTTCATTCATGAGGAGGGGAAGGGAAATCCTGGTACATAATCTAGCAAGTGTTTAAATAAGCCTGTTCAGATGAAGATCTCTCCTCTCCAGAGAAAAACCAGGGCTGTAAGAAAGGTTATGGAAATAATTTTTTAAAATGCCATTTAAAGAGAGTAAGCCTTTTCAGCTGTTCCAGCTCTTCACCTTCTTCTTATAACTGAAGCAATGCTGACTGCCTGAGGCACTCAGATAGGAAAAAAATCCCTGCACAGTGTTCTTCTTTTAAAAGAAGTGTATGATTCCTGTAAGCTTAAAAACAGCAAACAAAAAAATGATGCTGAGGAAACCTCTGGAGCAAGCAGTCTTCTGGCATTGGTCAAGGAGCCTGCAATACACATTTAAAAATGCACTCTCTAGTTATGAGATCTCTCGTGGCCTGTGGAGGCAGACAATATTAGAGGCCACTAAATCCTGAAGTTTATTTTTCTTAAAGTTTTCACTTCAAATAAAGCTTTGTTTTAAAATGTATGGGGCCAACTGTTAGAGCACTGAGGTCCTGGTTATTAGCCAGCTAGAGCCCATGAATTATGTTTAGTGAGAAGTTTATTGGCTCAGTAAACACCATTCCAGTTCCCCTCACCCCTGAACTGTGGAAGCCAAACCAAGAGATATTCAATGCCATGTTACCACTAGCACCAAAGCAACTATTATCTGATTACAGGCATTTTATTTTTTGTAAGGAATTTGCTATTGCATCATTTCATACATGTAAGTCTTTAAATCCACCAAGGCAATGCACAAAGAGTAAGTAACTCTTGAAGTAACTGGTTCTGTTTACCATCTTCTGGAGCAGGAATATTTATTTCCATCTTGTAGCTTTCTGACTGCAAGCACTACAGAAATGCAATCCCTCAAACTCTTAGTAAGGCAGGAGTTTGAAACACAAGCAAGATTAGAGTGGGCAACCACAAGAGCGTTCTGATAAAACCATCCTATGGAGCCAGGGCAGAGTACAGGGCTGTAAGAAGTTGCATTTGTTTCCTCTTACTCCCACTTTGTCCCAAGGAGACTCATAAAAACAGGGCCCATTCTGTGTTCTGAGAGTAGGTGGCCAGAGGTCAGACTCAGATGTTGCTCTTCTTAAGTTACACAGTCAAGAACAACTTACACAATTCTGACTTCATGGCAGAGCTGGCTACAGCTCAGACACAGTCCAGGTAAGATGCATCCAACATGGAGCTAGGGCAGACTGATGTGGTATTAGGACTGTCTAGCCTTACACCCATCTGTGCACAGCACCAGGAACCCAGAGACCAAAACCCAAGGTAGGCATCTCCAGACTGACACATAGCTGTGTAAATCCAGAAGCAACTTCTACTTGTGTGGCTGGCTTTCTCCTGGGCATAATGCTGTTTTATCTGGTTACCTTTCACTGCCATGAGCTAAAGCCTCACATACAGAGAGTATATGATCAGTCAGTGTGCAGTAACTTGTTTGCATGCTTGCTGTTCCAGTTTTCCAGAATAGCTAAAATATACCAGAAGACTTTATGGGGACTGTGTCAGTCCTTGAGGCAAGGAAAGTTAATTTAGTTGGAAGAGTAAGGATGCAAAGAAGAGTGCTATAATAACAGTAGTCAGTTTTGGTAGCAAAGTAAACTTGAAGAAATTTAGGTTCTCCTCCTAGTTCCCTCCATCTGTCACACCATCTTGGCTGAATAATACTTTTCTTCGTGTCTCTGCTTCCTTTCTCGCCTTCTGCCTTGTCCATTTAGACTATGACTTTCTTCAGGGAAGAGACTGGGCTTGTACAGCACCCAGTGACAACCTTAGGGCTCTGCAATCCTTCAGCCAAACAGCGCTTTTATAGAAAAACTTTGCTATAGACCAATTTACATAACACCAACTATGAAATCTCATATTCTCATGTAACTGCTTTTTTTCTGATGTCCTGAGAATTACAGAGCCAGAATCTGTCCATATGACAAGAAAGAACCTTGGCAGTACAGATCCTCAATATCCAATCTGTCCCGCAAGGACGTGCCAAGGCCATATCATCACACCCATAGCCAAGCACCTCTGGGGAGCAAGCACAGTTAAAATCTTTCCACCCCAGCAGTGGTGAAAGACAAGATACCCTTCTCTTTAAACTTAACCCTCTCCCTTCCAAAGAATGCCTGGAATTTCTACTATTTCCCAGCAGAGAGTGGAAGGCAAAGACTTGGCATGGGGCAAGACAGATAAGAGCAGTTGCCTTCTCTAGCTAGGTTTTGTTAACTCTGCATAATTGCTTAGGGCATGTGATGGTTAGAGGGAGACACATACATGTCTGTCAGAGACAGACTACAAATTACTAGTATAACTCCAAGCAAACAAAATCTAGTTTACAATGTGGCTGTGGTATATAAAACACCTCTGTAAAACTACAGTATAATTCAACTGCTGCACGTTTAATTTGCAAAGTAATGATATACTTTCCCCTCTCAAAGACTGCCACTTAGGATCACTAAGATGTTGAATGAAGTCTCTGCTGTCTTCTGGGACACATGTTGAAGGCTGATTGTTGTTGGAAGCTTCTCTAAGCAAGCCACATTTAAATACCATGTTCTGCAAGAGGGCCCATATTGTGTCGCATGTGAATTCAAGTTCCTTTACCAGTTGAAAATCTGGGTCAGAGCAATTTGCTTACATTTGAAGTCCTTTTCTGAAATTAATGGTATGTGGGATTTAGAGTTGTAGATAAAAGACAACCGGATAGTCTGCTATTATATCTGTTCTGCATCATGCATGTACCATCTACAGTTTTCCTGCTAAGCTTTGTTCACATGTACAGCCCACTTCTTCAGCAGTTGCACATTCAGCATACTAAGGATATTATTCTTGGCCATCCTGTTAAACTCACAGTATAAGTTAAATGCACAGTAGGGGGGCCTGCTGGGTTCTCAACAGTTTTTAGATGGCTACAGATTATAGCTGGCCAAGGGTGGAAGTTTTGATAAGCAGTCATGAAGTTGAGAGCTCTATTCAAATAGGATGTTGACTAGCGCTGACTCTATCTCTGTCACTTCTCTGGTGATAACTAGATTACCCAAATGTACTATGCTTAGGGCTACATCAGACCACCGCTTGGAAGCTCCAGTTAGTACTACATACAGCTGCCAAATCGCTTAGCTAGATTTCACACAGGGATCACACAGAACAACTGTGATGGTTCATGTTTATGTCACTTTGCCATTCAAGGAGGTACTTTTGGATTACTAATACCTTGTATGACTTGGGTGCTGGCTATTTCAGAGATTATTTATTTCACTGTATCAGGACAGGCAATTGTTAGCTGGATCCTAGGATAGCCCACAAGTTTAAACCTCTCCAATCTGGAAATATGGGTGGTATAATATCTGGCTCAGGAGTCCCACCCAGAGCTAAGATCCTGCCCAAATTTATTTTGGTGCTTCTTGAAAGAAGAAAGACAGAAAGGAAGGAAATAAGAAAGAAGCCTAAAACCGCAACACAAATTTGCAAGTTAAGCTTACTGACAGAACTGACCTGCAAAGTGCAAAACAATAACAGAGAATGATGATATTCACACGTTCTCATAGTATTCCTCCGGGTACAGAATATCACATTTTCCTAATGCAAGCCACTCTGGAGTGACAATCAATGAAAGACATTAAGTACAATAATAATATTTGGTTTAGGATAAAAATGTGGTTCCTACCTATGGGCTTGTAAAGGAAAACTCAGCAGAGTCTTACACTTCTTGTAGGTAAATTCTGAATTTTCATCCCCTTGTTCACAAGCCAGGCAGAATAAAAATATCCACCTACACTAAACCAAAGGGAGCCACTCGTAACCCAGACACAACCACAACAGACATTCTCCACAGTCCTTGGCTTAATAGAACACTGCCTTGTGGTTATACCCACCACTAGGATTTCATCTTGCAAGTTCTAGCACGTTTAATTTATTCCAGGTCATACATCAAATATAATATCGAAATTTAAGATGGCATGCGAGATTGAGGCTTTCTTTTGCAGTGCAAGTAGAAAGAACACTGTTGGGATTGCTGGTGCATGAACATATTAATACACAAACACAAACTTGTAGCCATCACTCAAGAAAAACAATTGGTCTTTAAGAGGGGAAAAAAGTTGTAAAAAGAATCAATTCCATTAAATAGCTCTATAAATCAATTCCACCAAAAATCAATGGGAAACTACATCCACAACGTGCCAAGTAACTCTACACATCAGGTGCAACTGTCCGTAACAGTGGCCATGTAGCAGCTCTGCCTGATGGGGATTCAGGCAGACATGGGCTGGAGCAGGAACTGAATTGCCCATGCTGCCCTCCAGCTCCCTCCTGCAGTGCTTTCTGCCCCATGAGCTGCATAATGGGTCAACAACATCATTCACTTCCAAAGTTTGCGTATCTGCGTGATGGAGCCAAAAATGGGAGCAGACTCCTGCTCACAGGCTATGGGGGCCCTTGCCTCCAGACATAGAAATGGGCAGTCCCTCCTAAAGACAGCAGAAGAGAACTCATGTTACTTGTTAGAGCCAGGCATCTGACATGCCCAGGTCTGAAACGAAGCATGGCTTTGGGATTTTCCGGCAAGCTTTATGCCACAGCAAGTGTCCCAGAGGGACACTTCCCCAAAGGGAAGCTGACTTAGACACAGACACGGGGAGGGTGATGGAGGAACATTCAGGATCTGGG